CCCCAAAATGCGTTTCGAGCCGCTGCCGCAGATCCGGCGTCCACCCCAAAATGCGCCGCGGTATTATAACGCGAACAAGATGTTTGTCTAGGTGACACATTGTTCTCACAGTTCTTTTTTTCAAGATCAGAAGCCGTCGATAACGATATTTTTTTTTCTAAGAAGAGATCGGTGACACATCGTCACTACTGCGACCCCAATAAGAGATCGGTGACACGTCGTTATTACTGCGAGCCAATAAGAGATCAGTGACATGTCATCATTATTGCGACCCAATAGGGATGATAGATAATGAGACAAAGAAGTCATAAAACGATGTAGAAGTTGAAAATATTAGAAACGTTGAGAACATAACTAACGTATATTAGAAACGTGAAGAAACGGATCCGGAACAGTTCGCGAATCAGAGACGAAGTATTTGAAGTGCTTGAAATAGAAGTAGACTTTGAGAATATAATGGACTAAGAATCATCTGACGAAGAAATGCTATCCGACGATAGTAGATATGTTAGTGATATGAGCGAGTATGAAATTGATCGCGTAGAAAAATTTGTGCAGCCTTCGGAAATCCATACGTTGAACGCTTGTACTAAGCACTGTGTGATCTACAATTATTATACAACGGATGGTGTTTTAACTGTATGCACAGCATGCATGATTCGTATAGGTGACATTAACGATGTATCATATCAGGGAGCATGAGATTGATTCTTTCGCTAGACTAGAGGCAAGTCGTGCACGAATTGCAGAGGACCTTTGTACAGTATATTCTCATGCAACATATGCCCACTCTGCACACATTGAAAAAAAAAATTATTGAATAGTACTGGAAAATATGTGGGAAGACTATAATGTAGATGATGTGTTGTATGTTCTCGGTAACCCACAAAAAAAAGACACAGATATGCGAATATCGCCGGTGCAATTCCTACGCGATCGAGAATTAGGTATACGTGATGAGAAACATGGAATAGTTATTAAAGAGCCCGTTTCTGACTGGTCTTTACTCGCGCAACAGAAAGTATACCCATGGTTACGAGACAAATATGATGAGTATGAAAAGAGACATTGGTAGAATAGAAATGTCAGTATAATAAAGGACGATTATTATTGGGCGAAAAAAATCACAGATAAGAGCCAAGGTTGCATGTGCATTAAGATTCCCGCGGGTAATGAAAAGTGTGTCGAACTGATTATTGACAATATATGGATGGAATTTCGTGATCGCGTTCTTGCACTAAAACTATTTTTCAATAGATGCGACGAACAATGCTTTGAATGCGAACAGTGCACTTTTGCAAACAAACATAATGAAAAAGTGTTAGAACGTTATGATATTCTAGATGTTGCAACGTGTGTGAACGAATCACGTGCAAGTGCTCCGTGGAAGAGTGCGACGTGATCTAAAAAACTGTGAAAAGATATGGAAAATCATGAGCAAGTGGAACGCGAACTGTTGGAGCAGTGCGGCCAGGTCGCTACTCTGGTGGCTGCAACGAGTGCATCGAGCAGCTCGAAGAACTTTGTCGCCAAGCGTCTGCACCTCGCCGTTGGACACAGACAAGCCGCGGTGGATCGCGGGTGCAAAGTCGCAATTGGAGCGACGTTTCGTGCACATTGGTGGCGAGTACGCGAGTGGCGAGTACGTGAGCAACGATCTCTTGTCTGGCGAGAAATCGACGCCACGTTCGAGAATCGTACATTGACAGTTGCGGTGATAAACTCTAATCACATCGAGCCACAGCAGTTTTTAGAAGACGCTAGCAGTGTAGTTCTAGAGCGAGTGCGAGACGCTGTAGAAAGATACGGTAGTGTAAACATCATTCAACGGTGAGTTCGTGACGAAGGATAAACGTGATAATAAGAGCATAGTTACAAAGAACAGCGAGATATACCGATACACCAATTTGCGCGAGTGGTATGAGCAGCACCACTCATCCAGCCTATCGCTCGAAGAATTCCAGGAACGCGATAGCGGATGGACATTGTTACGTATATTGAATTTGACTATCAATGTGAACAAACTAAATCCTCTGCGCGCGGGATGTCACATCGAAGTGCCACGAGAAATAGCGACGAAACGAGCGGTAATCAGTGTTCGACGGACAATGCGTGTTTCGCATGGTCGGTGGTCGCCGCTCTGTGAAGAGTCCAGTTGAAAAATATACGGAGCGGGAATCGTCCTATCCGCATTACATGACAGTGTTGAATCTCACGGATATCGAATTTCACGGATATCAATAACGTTAAAAGACATTTCTAAATTTGAATGGTTGAACATGGTGTCGATCAACGTGTACAGCATCGAGAATAAACAAGTCCTTCTTCTGCGGCTCACCGATGACAAGAAGGAGAAACACGTCAATCTCCTGTATCTACAAGATTCATACAACGACAACCTTGGTCACTTTATATCAAGAACCTGTCGCGTCTCGTGAGTTCGCAAATTACTAGGAAAAAGAACAAGAAGTTTTTCTGCGACCAGTAAGTATAATAAGAAAAGCCAATAAAAAACAGTAAAAAAGAAATAGTGAAAAATGATTTCTCTATTATTTACAGGTGGTAACTCCATTACTTCGGTTCGTGCGAAAAATTGCAATTGCACGAAGTGGACTGCCACTGCAGAAAATCAACGATTGCGCCAAGCGAGGATGACAAGTGGCTCGAATTTGGAAATCTGCAATAAGAAGCGCGTCCCATTCATCGTCTACGCCGACCTGGAGTGCGTCCTACGTAAGACAGAATCCGACAAGGAAGATGCGTCGTCGTACGCGTATCTGCGGCATGAAACGCTTAGCATAGGCTATTACGTACGATGCGCGTACGACAACACATTATCGTCATATTACTTCCATCGCGATGAAGGCTGATAACGTGGTTCGCGCAACAACTCAACGATTTGGCACATCGCGTGAAAAATATCATATCCGCCAACGTTCCCATGGACACGTTGTCTAAACAGCAATGGAAGGCATGCTGTAGCGCGATGCGTTGTCATCTGCGAGAAACCGTTCGCGCCGGACGATACGCGAGTCCGCGATCATTGTCATCTCACCGGTAAAGCGGTCCAGCGCATTCAAATTGTAACTTAAATTATAAAAATTCATTCTATATTCCGATGGTATTTCACAATTTATCGGGCTATGATGCCCATTTTATAATTAAGGAAATTGCTACTGCGTACGATGGACATGTAGATGTACTACCGATAACGAAGAAAAAATATATTTCATTCACTAAACATGTCGATAGCACCAAAGATAAAAATGAAAAGAATTTTCAGAAAAAAAAAATGATGTAAAAATGATGTTAAGATTCATTGATTCTTTCAAATTTCTAAATGCAAGCCTCAATAAATTGGTGTCGTATCTCGACAAAGATAAATTAAAAATTGTACGCAACCTGCAGCAATGCACTCGTCACGGTCTTCGCATAACAAAGATTCACTGGGTGCTATAATTCGCTCAATCTCTATAGTTCCGCGATTACATTGAACTCAATACACAATTTAGAACGCGCAAAAAACGATTTCGAAAAAAATTTGTATAAACTAATGAACAACGCGATATTCGGTAAGATCATGGAGAATGTACGCAATCACGATGTAAAATTAATAACAAAATGGGACGGACAGTACGGCGCGAAGGCAATGATCGCGAAACTGAATTTTCACAGCCGCAGTGTCTTTGCGGAAAATTTGATCGCTGTCGAAATGCGCAAACAAGCGAGATAAAGTTCGACAAGCCGATTTACGTGGGTATGTGCATACTCGACATATCGAAAGTCTGCTTGTACGAATTTCACCACGAGTCACGAGTACATGTCACCATGTATCGCGACAAATACAAGATCATGTACACCGACATGAACAGTCTCATTTACCATATAGAATGCGATGTTTACAAGAATACGAAACACGATATCGCTAGATTTGACATGAGCGATTTTCCGGACAACGTGTATGGTATGCCTCTCGCGAACAAAAAATGTACTCGGCCTGATGAAGGACGAAAATAATGGTGCCATAATGGCCGAATTCGTTAAACTGAGAGCGAAGATGTACGCGGTGAGTGGACGGCAAGAAGGACACTAAAAAGATGAAAGGTGTAAAGAATAACGTCGTAGCGCGAACGATAACGTTCGATGATTACACGCGGTGTTTGAACGAAGAGATCGAAATGACTCGCCATCAATCGTGTATACGATCTAAATTACACGAGATATACACGATATTCGAATCGAAAATCGCTCCGAATCCATATGACGACAAATAATACGTCGTACCGAACTCGACGGAGACATTACCGTGGGGGCATTGGCGGATACCTTTGTAATATATGTTACTATTATTTATTGTAATTTACACTTTTTTTTCACATTTATACAAATATTATTAATATGTTTTTATGTAATAGCATTTATTATTAATATTACGATTGTTATACTTTCATATTGTATAATATATATCGTATGTTTTTAACATTTATATACTACTAGTATTTCAATTTTACATTTTATGTATCCCATATTTTTTTTTATCATTTATGCATATTATGTATTATTATTATTTTAATTTACACGTAATGCATGTTTTTTTACATTTATATAAGTATTATTATTATGTTTTATGTAGTACCATTTATTATATGTTACTATTATTTTTCATTTCATGTATCGTACATTTATATATGTATATTCCGAACGAAGATAGAAAGAATAAAAAAAAAATGTTTATATATTTATATTGATATATTTTTTATATATAGAAATAAAAATACACGAATCAAAATTTTATCAAATGACATTGTTTTTGTGTATCCATGAATTGTGCGATCCATCGAATCCCAGCCGTACACCTTATCTCCTTTCCGGCGCAGTACTTTCTCCACGAGATACACGTCCGGATGAGTAGATGCAACATGAGCTCGTAAAACGCTTCAGCGACGGATTTTCCGCAATAATTCTCGAGTAGATAGATTACAGGATTGGTACGCTGCATCTTAACGATTGTAAACATCTCGGTATCTCGGTATCCAATTTGGTGTGTAACCCTTCTCAAAAATCGTCTTGTACTTGCTCACGCATACCGAATCGCCCACTTTAAATTTTGACGGACCAGCAATCTTTATCGCGCTGTACACCGTGTCCAAGAGTCTTTCGGCGATCGCGGGAGTTACGTCAGCAGGTCGTATGCCGATAGTCCGATGCTTGCGCGTAATCTGACACGAGATGCGACTCGTCGATCTACTTGTAATTGCCATTAAGTGTAAACATCTCCCACATGTCGTTTTTGAGCGTGCGATTGAACCGCTCGACTACTGACGTTTTCAATTCGAATACGTGGAATAGTGATTAACATCGTGTTTTTTCAGGATTTTCTGCACATCGACGTTGTAAAATTCCTTTCCCATATCCGTTTGTAAATTTTTCGGACATCTTTCACTCGCTCGAATTATCTCAACGATAGCATTAGCCGTCTCGCTTCCACCCTTGCTCTTGAGCGATATGGCCCACGCATACTTGCTCAACACATCGATGATGATGAGTATGTAGTGGTAGTCTCTGTTGAAACCTGAGTATGGACGCATCTCAACGATATTAGCCTGCCACAACGTCGAGGATACGACATCGTCGTATCCTCGAACTATGACGCGCCTTCGCGGAAAATATCTTCTCGCCGGAGCATGCAATTCCTCGACGAGTCGACGTCTCTCGGAGCTAATTTTTCTCTTTTTGCTGAATCTCTTTTTCATGATTTAACGCGTAATACACAGAGCAAAAGAATTTTTTTTTTCTCACTGATAGTACTCTGACTGACTCGTTTGATCTGTACGCGATTTAATTTATAATAAGACCGGCTTCGCGAAGTTCTTCGATCGACAACATCTCGTTGTCATGAGCGTTGTTGTCCGCTCGGTGCGAAGCATCGAGCAATCGTAGATGATTCACTAGTTCGTTGGGATCGTCCTAATGCACGTAATCAATCGTGTCATTCAGTATCATTGCATGAAGTAATCCCTTTCCAGATTTATCTTCTGTTTCTTGGGTGTAATCGACATCAACGGCGCGATAACGTATTTGTATTTGTATCCCCTATTGCTCAATAATCGGCCCTGCGATTGATGCTTGTGTTTGTGCGCGTTCGTCACTAGTAGCATGCTCTTGTACTTGTTCATATTGTCTTCCGTGTAGAGGAGATCGTCGGGAATTCTCTTGAAAATCAACTCGTAAAGACTAGGTGTACCGACGTATCGTACATCGTCGATAATTATGTTGTCCGCATCATTCACGTTTATTGCCAAACATCAATTCATCCTTGTGTAGGTAAATGCCGTACACATAATCTACAATGCTCTTCTATTTATCTCGCGTTCCCCTCGACGTACTTTTGACCCAACGGACCCAAGTCGGCTTGCAACGCCTCTCGATCTTTCGACGTTTGCGACCGATTTTGAACCTTTGTCGCTAGCGAGTCTTCCATCGTTTCGAGAACATTGTTCAACGACTCTATCGTCGGTACAATTTTGGTACGCGATGTAGAGGTTATCGGCTGTACACGATTGTGCGATCGATTATCGGGTTTACGCGGGATCGCGGAACGCTCGAACGTCTCGCTCGCTTCCTCCTCCTCCTCTTTTCTCTCACGCTGCGTCATCGTCGCGCGACTGTCTCTTTATCGCGCGCACGGGGCTGTCAACAATCTGCTGCAGAGGTTTGATAATAGGCTTAAAATGTCTGTCCAATGCTATGTCCTCCTCGATTCTACCGGTCTTTAGAGCGCGGTTTCTTACGGATCGACTCGCTCGTTTTCTCGATCTCCCTCGCAATTTTTTCACGCAATTTTCTCGCGCACATCAGCCATGTTCGTCTCTGGCGAAGTATTGACAATGACTAGTCACGTTACAGTATGGTGAACTCGTTAAATCTCTTTCTGTATCTCCCGTCTTTAAGCGCATTGGCCTTGTCTATCACTAAAAATCCATATTTTTTTGCCAACAGTCGCGACATAACAAACAAAATTCATCGTACGACATGTCGGTATTCACGTGATCGTTGTAAACGTGTCTCAAGTTGGTACAATCCTGTTTGAACAGGATCAACAGTTCGCGTTGTCGTGTATCAGATGTTTAGGTATTTTCGCGTACGTCTGACAGACATAGAAGCAGTTTGCGTGGCGGTCCATCGAAAAGTATTCTCTCACCGCATCCTGCTTGTTGCATGCTACGTCATCAAAGATAAAAATAGAATTTGGGCGCGCCTCGCTCGATGGAACGACATCGCTATTGTTGGAGAACGTAAAGTAGCCGATTTCATCAATAGACATAAATAAATTTTCGAGATATCGATACTTTGACTATTGCAGCGATTTCGAATAAACGTACACATTCTCGAAACGTACGCTGTTTGGATTCTCGAGCAAGCTTACGAGAACGTTTTACCACAACTCGACGGGCCGCAAATGATTGCGCGTATAGTACTCGGCAGCATTTCGTCATGCTTGCGCTTCTCCGCGCTGCCTCCCATCATTCGCGATTTCGCGTCACAGTTTGTGTGTATCATTAGCGATTGCAGCACGAATTTCATGCTCACATTAAAGACTGTGCACTCTCGAATGACTATTTAAAGATGCGCGAATCCGCGAATCGCGCAGTAGCAAAATGTATTTCGCGCTGTGTCATCCTTCCGATATTCAAAACTTGAGCGTCGAGCAACTGCAATATATACCGAAGGTCGTTCTCTTACGCGTGTACGGCGACTACATCGAACACATCTGGGACAAGCTTCTGGAACATGTGAAGGCAGATTCGGAGGTTCGAACCTATTGTCGCTGCGACGAACACTACAATCAGCCGTGGCAGCGGACGCACATCGATGGTCCCGCATCGAAGATAAAGAACTGTAGCGAATGTCAGCATCGCGCAGCGGCTGAATCGAGCGATAAACGCGCTTCCTTTTGAGTTACATATTCCGGGCTACCACAGTTTTGCGGGCATTCGGCTTACGAAGTGACTAGCCAGAGGTGACAAGGGCATAAATTCGCTGGACGCGGCGTGCCGAGAACACGACACTGCGTATTCTCGGAGCAAATCTCACCGATAGACACGCGGCGGACAAGGTACTCGCCGATAAAGCGCTAGGACGCGTCACTGCGAGAGATTCGTTTGAGCGAGAGAGCCGCCGCAGCTGCCGTCTGGGCCAAGACCAAGACCAAGATCGACATGGGCATGAAATCGAAGAAGAAGACGATGAGGAAAAAGACGACGAAAAAACGGATACTTCCAACAGCGAAACGAGGCGGTGCGTTACCATTTCTGTCAATGTTGGGCGCGTTTGGATCCTTGATCGGCGGAGCGGCCAGCGTGGCGAAAGCGGTAAATGACAGCAAAGCCGTGCGACATCAGCTCGAAGAGCTGCAACGTCATGATCGCGCGATGGAGCAGGGTCGCGGACTGTATCTTGCTCCGTATAAATACGGGCGCGGACTCTATCTCGGTCCGTACAAACATGGACAGGGTGTAGCTACAAAGAAAAAAAAAATGCCGAAAAGACAATAAAAATACCGTCTAGCGGCACTACTACCAATGTGCAATTGAACGAGCTCGCGAGACGTATGCGCGTACCATACTTTAGAGGCGTTTTCATGCGTAATACGTTACCAACGAGCGGCGCGCACTGAAACGAAAGCGGTATCATGAATCTGGGCGACGGGGCCTGGTACTCACTGGTACTCACAGCGTACGCGAAAAGGAATAATTGCGTCGTGAATTTTGACAGTTTCAGTAATCTTCGACCAAAGAATTGGTGCGATATTTTGGAAACGGTGCTATGACGATAGAGTACAATCGCACGTCCTATCAGACGTACAATCAGAGTTTCTGTGAATGTGTCTGTGAAATCTTAGTATTCGTCGAACGCTTTTTCCGTCATGTCGTTGACGCTTACGCTGAGTGGGAAGAGCACCGTTCTCGCAGCGAATTACTTTCCCGCCATAGATTTGAGTGACGGCGATTACGAGCTTGGTCTGGCGATTTTTGAGACTTATCACACAATACCGAACGTAAACGAATCGAACAACAAATTTTATTTCACCAAAGACGTCGAAATTACATTTCCCAAAGATTCATATGAAGTGCGAGACATAAATGAATTTTTGAAACGCGTGATTTTACGGAAACATCCACACCACGACGCGCTTGAAACCATTGACGTGCATGGTGACAATAACAACAACAACAACAACAACAATGACACCGATGATGATGATAATGGTGGAGAATATCCGATTACGCTCTGCAAACTACAACACGATGAGATGCAAGATTAGATGTGCATACAGAATAAACTTTGGTAAGCCCAATAACATTGGATCACTGCTAGGATTCTCGTCGAAGCGTATATTGCGGCCGCGAAGGTGGCACGAATCGGATATGTCGATCAATATAATGAATGTAAACGTTATCCATGTAGAATGTAACGTGACCGTGCGTACAGCAACGGCAAAAGCGCGCATACGATACACGAATTTTCGCCGAGCGTGCCTCCATGATATAAGATATCGGAGAGGTCGGCGCAGATCATTTACCTGCCGATAATCGCACGGAGCATTACGGATCTAACGATACGCATCGTCCAGAATGGACGATTGCTCGATTTTCGAGGAGAAGAGATCACTGTTAGATTGCACGTAGGACGGCGACAGTGATAACGTGAGCGTGAGATGCTGAACGGAACAGAGCGTATGCAGAGAGATAACGCATTTTTTACAAGGCCAGCGTCACAATTCGATAACATTCGCTCCAGCTGCATCAGATAGAAGAAGAAGCTTAGTGTGTAAACATTTTTAAAGTCTTTGGGATTCGCGGTGCGCAACATTTGATGACTAACATCATAAACATTAAAGATGAGCCGATCTTCGACGATCGCATCGTCAAGATTGAGACTCACACGTACAGCCCGTTCGCCAACACAATGTTCGAGTATGAGCGATGAAATAAGAATACCCATACAGCAACTGTACACACTGCCGTACGAAAGCTTTTTGTACGTCGAGAGAAAACTGACGAAGAACAAAGTGGTCCAGAGTGCTCACGTGACATTGGGAAATAATTGCGTCGCATTCATATTCGATGAGATTCGATATGAACTCAACGGTGTGGAGATTGATTGTAACAGAAACGTGAGCATAATTAGCACACTCAAAAACTATGTAACAGTGTCATCCGAGCGTGATTCTACGAAATGCCGGCTGCGATGCGCTGACTACTGCGGCCGGATATTTTAATTTCTGTGTACCGCTCTACGTACTGCTGGGATTTTACGAAGATTACAAACGCGTAATGATCAACGCTCGTTGAGTATTCACGAGTTGATTTTAATATGAGCACGCAACGACAACAATTGTCTGATGGGAGATCCGGCGACAGAACCAACGCTCGAATTTTCAAAGTACAGTGGCGAATGCCGTACGTGTTATTGAGCGAGATAAATAAGTTGTCGATACTACGCGCTTTAGAAAGCGGACGATATCTGAGCATGACTTTTCGCTCGTGGGATCTGTAAGAGTTTCTGCTCTTGCAGAGCACAACCAAACATTCGTGGACCATCAAGACAGCTACTCAGCTCGAAAAGCCGCGCTATGTCATTTTCGCTATGCAAACAGATCGAAAAAACGTCATGTCTAAAGATGTAAGTCGATTCGACGATTGCAAATTAACCAATGAATTAACCGAAACTCTATCTGAATTCGGAATGT